ATCTCTTCTGGACAGTCTCCTTGATGAATGCTGCCATAATCCTTGCCTTCAGTTCATCTTTCTTTTTACAATGAGTTTTGTTGGTCTCTCGATCAACTGCACCCTACACATAATAATAATCAAGGATGTTATAGTCTGGGGAGTTAGGTTTGCCGGATATAAGGAGTGATATGTCGGAGAAATTGTCTGACAGCCATGACTGTGTTCTCCTGCTTGTGTGGCAAGCTGCAGTGTATTGTTGAAAGATAAGACTCCTCCAGCAGCCACTCTCTTGACCCAGGACAACACTACGTCCTCAAGGCACTTGTAGGTTTCCGTATTGAGTCTGAGGCCCTGTGGGAAGATGAATGGAGGCATAATGTTGTCATCACTAGTGATCACTCAAAACACCATGATCTTGACTGGATATATCATCCAAATCCTTCCAAATCATTTACACTGAATTCAGCTTGACAACGAAACAACGTGGATGGATAAAATTATAAATCTAAAATGGCGTCCATTTACTAATCGCACCCTGTTATTATTTTCTGGGTGTTTTTTAACAAGATACATTTTCTATTTTGAAAAATCAAATATCACTAAGATTGAGTGTGAGAAACATATATGGCGAATGATGAAACTTGAAAAAACTGAAATGTTTTCATTTTCATTTCTTATTCACTTGTTCATCTTTTCTCCTGTGTTTCTCTTTTTTCTTTTGTTCGTTTCATTCTTCAGATTTTCTTCCTCTTCTTCTGCTTCTAATTTTTCTTATTTACATACATTTCTCTTCTCTCTTCTTCTCTGTATTCTTCTTCATTTGTCTTTTTCGCCCAATTCTTCCTGTTTCTTTTTTCTTTTTTGACTACTTTTATACACTTCTATTTTTCCAACACCTCCTCCGACTTCTTCTTCTTTTCTTCTTTTTCGTCTTTTTCTTCTTATTTTTCTTTTTCCTCTTTTCTTCTTTTTCTCCTTCGTCTTTTCTCCTTCGTCTTTTCTTCTTCTTTTTCTTCTTTTTTTTCATTTATTTTCTACTTCGTCTTTTTCTTCTTCTCTTTTTCATTTTTTTCATCTTTTTCTTCTTCGTCTTTTCTCCTTTTTCTTCTTATTTTTTCTTCTTTTCCTTTTTTATCTTCTACTTTGTCTTTTTTTCTGTTTTCTTCTTTTTAATTTTCTTCTTTTTTATCATTTTCTTTTTTTCTTCGTCTTTTCTCTTTCTTCTTGTTTTTTCTTCTTTTATCTTTTACTTCGTCTTTTTCTTTTCCTTCTTTTTTATTTTCTTCATGTTCTCTTCCCTTACTTATTCAACACAGTTTTATTTTTCTTTCTTACTTTTCATTTAAATTTCTTACTTACTTCGCAAAGCCTCATTCTCTTTATTTTCCTCATCTTTTCTACTCCATGTTCTCCACCTTTCCCTCTCCTCCGTTATCCGCATTATCTTTCTTTCTTTCTTTCTTTCTTTCTTTCTTTCTTTCTTTCTTTCTTTCTTTCCTTCCTTGCTTCTGTCTGTCTGTCTTTCTTTCTTTCTTTCCTTGCTTCTTTCTTTCTTTCTTTCTTTCTTTCTTTCTTTCTTTCTTTCTTTCTTTCTTGCTTCTGTCTGTCTTTCTTTCCTTCCTTCCTTCTTTCTTTCTTTCTTTCTTTCCTTGCTTCTGTCTGTCTTTCTTTCTTTCCTTCCTTCCTTCCTTCTTTCTTTCTTTCTTTCCTTGCTTCTGTCTGTCTTTCTTTCCTTCCTTCCTTCCTTCCTTCTTTCTTTCTTTCTTTCTTTCTTTCTTTCCTTCCTTGCTTCTGTCTGTCTTTCTTTCCTTCCTTCTTTCTTTCTTTCTTTCTTTCTTTCTTTCTTTCTATACCCTCCGTAGTTTTACATTTGTTAATCTTTCTTTCTCTGAGAAATATATTTCCTTATTTCGTCCTTCCTCTGTGTAGTCTTTATACTTTCCTCTCCTATCAGTTCTTTCTTTCTTTCTTTCTTTCTTTCTTTCTTTCTTTTCTTCAGGTCTCCCAGTCATTTCTTTCAAATCTTTCGCCTTAGTCAACAAAGCAACATTCCTACTCTTTCTTCCTTCTCCTATTTTCCAGCATATATTCTCACTTTCATTTTCATTATCTTCTTCTTCTTCTTCTTCTTCTTTTTCTTCTTCCCACTGTTCCCCTATCCAAGATCGTTAATTAATTGGGCTACTAATTATTTAATTGTACAATTATTTAATTAACGAATCAACTACGTTTCGTCGCTAAACCGTTTGACGAAGTTAGTTATTTGATGTTTAAATTATTAAAAAAAAAAATTATTTTCCGTTTTCCACTTCTCCTTTGCACTCAAAAAGAAATTTGTCTTCATTTAATTTTTTTTTTCCTTTTAATGTTCACCTTTTTTCATTGTTGCTCTTTTGAAGGAGTGTTATTAGTTTTGTATAATGGAAATATTTGATGTCGTTACGAACACAGAAGTGTAGGTTTACAAGTGTCAAAATTTCAGGACACCGTCGATTTTCCATCATCACACACAGTCAACACTTTGTTTAATCTGGTTATTACATTCAGAATACGTGTAAACACTATATAATTCTACAAATATCTACATTCCCTCTGCCAGGTTTAAGCGCTATCTTAAAAAAATATTTATATTAAGATCATGATTTTATAATTTGATCACTATATTTTTAACCAATATTTTGAGTCCACGGACTCAATTGATGGATTTCAACATCATGGCAATCAAAATAATTCAGTGTACAGATTCATTGCAGAATAAGAGATACTTTCTTTCCGGTGTATTGATTTTTTTTTTTTTTAGAGTTTTCACTCTAGATATATCGAAGGCTTTTAACAGGGTTTGGCATGCCGGCTTTCTACGTAAGCTTCAGGAAACAGTATTACAAGACAATTATTTAACTAAATATAATCATTCCTGTCTAAAGGTGCAATGAAGATTGTCCTGAGCAGTTTCTATTCCAGTTCATTCCATACGGACTCTGGTGTTTCCCAAGCCTTGGATTTACACTGTTTCAGATCATCATCAATAATCTTCTTAATATCACCAGTTCTAAATCAGTTCTGTACTGAGTCAAACCTATAAGAAACCTAGTTGGAAAACGTCTCGAATAGTTCAATTTTCATTTCAGATAAAATTGAAGACTTACCCACAAAGTTGCACCCTACATTAAATGAAAGAAATACATCGGTACGTACTTGTTCCAACTTGTTGGAAGTCTTCCTCTGTCGTCCATGTCTTTAAGAACTCTAAAGACCCTTCTGACCCATCTAACTACCGTCCCATTAGTCACCTACCACTCTTCAGCAAAGACTTCGAGGCTTTAATCTATGCCGAAATGCTTAAGCACCTTTCTTCCTACGATCTACTCTCTGACAAACAATATGGTTTTCGCATTGCCCGGTCTACCGCTGATGGGCTTACGGCCATAAGTGAATTTGTATCCGAACCTCTTGATAATAATGGCGAAACTTGAGCTGTTGCTCTAGATATCTCAAAGGTGTTTGACAGGATTTGGCATGCCGGCCTTCTACTTAAGCTTCAGGAATACGGTATTATAGGACGATTATTTGATTTAATCCAATCATTCCTATCTAACCGTGAAATGAAGATTGTCCTGAACGGATTCTCTTCCAGTTCCTTTCATACGAACGCTGGCGTTCCCCTAACTTTGGACCTACACTGTTTCCGATCATCATCAATGATCTTTCTGACGTCATCAGTTCTTAAGTCGGCATCTACGCAGACGACACTACCATTTACTCCTGTCGCAATAGTAAATCTGGCATTACTGATAAAGTTAACCTGTCCGTTGGTGTCAAAACGACATCCAGTTTGTGATTGACTTGGGGCAGGGAATGTCTTGTGAATTTTAATATATCCAAAATGAAACTGCTGTCATTTACCCACCATAGAGAAATCTCCCTGTCTCCTATCAACATGGCTGATGCTCAACACAATGAAAGCTCATAACGTTGCCATCTTGGTCTCAAGTTTCCACTGACCTGAGTTGAAATAACTACACTTCATCGGTTACAGTATACACAAAGACAATGACAAAAAAGACGATGATATATCATGTGTGGAGGCCGCAAAGTGAACTAATTGATTTTCTATTCGCTGAATTACAGTCAGGAGGTAGAAAAAATGATTATTTGTATTTTTGCTTAATAATTGAAAGAGTAAAACAAAAAATAATAATGGTGGACTCTCTCTCTCGTCGTATGAGGGTGAAGCAGCTCAGTTCCTAGGCACCGACAGGCCAGACACCAGCACATATGATTTGATTAAAGTGGTGAAGGCTTTGTTCAGAACCAACCACACTTTCTGAAGGACCGAATACAGAGACCTGGTGCACTATAATTGGCTATAGAACCTGGTCTGTTCTGTTATTTACCCATAACTGGAAGGAGAAAATAGAAGATTCATACCTTTCCCAAGGGTATTATCAAGTAAGTGAAAGTAATGGATTTGTCTAGAATTCGAACTCGGCTCTCCGATTCCTCAATCCGAGCCGCTATCCACTACTCCACCCTCAAATAATAGTAATAATACATAGATACAAACATAGTAATGAAAGACCACAAAAGCAAATTATGCTTTCATATCAACATGTCAGTTTCCGCAAACATTAATATAATAACAACATATGGTTCAGTATCTTTCTGTATTTCTGAGAGGAGGTATTACGTACATTATTTACATTATTCAGACTATTGTCCTCATCTTTGTCGCCATATTTATTACAACGTTTCGGCCGTTGTACGCTCCGGCCTTCTCCAGGCGGTTGGAATGTCGAACTGAACCCTTTATTTCGCTCACTGGGGTAGACTGTTCTAGTTCTACGTGCCATGTTTGATAGATGTCAGATATCACTTATCTCCTATTAATTCCCCTCTCCAAGTTCTCCACTGCCTTAACCGGGTATTGAACTCACACTCTTTGGGTCCTGTCACTGGATCTAACTAAAGCCTTTATCCACTGTGCCATGGATAAAAGCGTGACAAAAAAATTTTATAAACAAGAATGTATAAACATAAAAATGTCTTAAAATAATTGTCGGACATTATCCATTTCATAATGTGTGGCGTCATTTGTTTACACTTGGATACGCCATGCGCAGATATGAACATACGTGAGAGAATCATTGAAGATTGTAGTTTAAAGACAGTAAAATCGAGCTTGCTAACCGAACGTTCCTCTGTGGCCCAATCGATTAAAGGCACGTCAGGCTATATGACGGTTCCGTATAGGATACAGGTCCGATTCCTGTCGGAGGACGAATATTTTGTATGAAAATTTCTCGGACATTCAGGCCGGTAAATGTTGTTTAATATTGTTTATTATAAACAGAACATTTACTTAAATATTTGTATCTATAAAAAGAATGTATAAACATAAAAATGTCTTTAAAATAATTGTCGGACTTTGTCCATTTCATAATGTGTGACGTCATTTGTTTACATTTGATACACCATGAGCAGATATGAATGTACGTGAGAGAATCATGGAAGATTGTAGTTTAAAGACAGTAAATTCGACCTTGCTAACCGAACTTAATACTGTTTAGTATAAACAGAGCATTTACTTAAATATATCTATCTATAAAAAGAATGTATAAACATAAAAAAATGTCTTAAAATAATTGTCGGACTTTATCCATTTCATAATATATATATATATATATATATATATATATATATATATATATATATATATAAACGTTGTATGTAATATTTGATCGACATCCACTGAACAAGTAATGTCGGATTAAAAATAAATGAATAGATGCAAAATATTCCCAAAAGTCTTATGAATTTCTGAAATGTGAAAACTGAGTCTTAATGGTAAACTCACGTCTGACACCGTCAGGTTTCGCAAATCAAAAAGTAATACAGTTTAGTTTCCTCAAAGTCGATAGATATTAGTTTCACGATTTATCTACTCATGTAAATACTCGTGTACTCAGTAAATATGACGTTTATAAAAATAATAAATATATGTCTTTATTTCTGATATAAGGTATTTTAACTACTTACACTATTTACATTGTTAGGACTGCTGTGCCCATCTTTATTGTCCTATTCACGACGTTTCGACTTATGTACACCCCGGTCTTCTTCAGGATCTGTCTATATTTCTGAGATGAGGTATTGTAACTATTTATACTATTTACATTGTTCAGACTGTGATGCCCATCTTCACTGTCATATTCCCGACGTTTCGGCCGATGCACACTCAGGTCTTCTTCAGGATCTCTCTATTTTTCTTTTTTTGTAATTATTTGCACTATTTATATTGTTCTCACTGTTGTCCTCATCTTTACTTTCGCATTCATGACGTTTCATCCGTTGTACGCTCCGGCCTTCTTCAGGTGATATTTTGTTAGAATTGAACCCTTTATTTAGTCCACGATGATAGATGGTTCTATTTTCTAATTCCACACGCCATTCCTTTGGATATAACTGTCTTAGTTAATTTGCCTTGATAACTCTCCAACGGTGAGAAGAAAAAATTGGAGAGTTATCATAGCTAAAACTGAGATTCATTTTTTTTGAGGGGTTGGGGACATAATAAGGGTGATATAAGTCTTACTGACTAACCCATAGCTGGAGGGGAGAAGCTGTGAATTGATACCATTCTCAAGGATAATTGCGTGTAAGTGAATATAATGAACCCAACGGGAATTGGAACTCGGCTCTCCAATTAAAAAATCCGAGTTATTATCTATTACACTACCCCTACATCCAAGCTTACAGCACCTGGTATTCCCAAGCGGTCAACCATCTAGATACTGATCAGGCTCGATGCTGCTTAACTACGGTGATCGTACTGAAATCATGTTTCAATGTGATATGGCCTTAAGCCATATACATATATTAAGACTTTGAATAAGTTTTCGCTGATAATATCATGAAAAGTAATGTTTTATTTGCAAAAATTAGTAAGAAACATGTCAGTGAAAGTATTGTCCATCGCTAGCCACTAATTTTTTCCCATCTTTCTGGCAGCATTTGAATTTCACGTCGGAAAAACGACACGTCTTTTGAGGCTAACCACGAGTCGACCCATTTTTTTGTATCTTCATATGAATGAAAGTGCTGCTGAGCCAGGCCATGTGTCATCGATCGGAACTAGTGATAATCGGACGGGACAATGGAAGGTGGAGTAAGACTTCCTATTTAAGCGTTTCCATGAAGGTTTTCACCCGTTTTGCAACATGTGGCCGAGCGTTGTTATCTTGCAAAATCCCTTTGTCGTGTCTCTGATTGTATAGCGGCCGCTATTTTTCAATGTTCGACTGAAACGCATAAATTGTAGTCGACGGCGATTTCCCGTGATGATTTCGCTCGGTTTGAGCAACACGTAATACACTACACCCAGCTGATCCCACCAACTGCACAGCAGAAGCTTCGAACCATGGATATTCGGTTTTGCTGCCGATGTTGATGCATGGCCAGGCTTTACCCAGCGATCTTTTACGCTTAGGTTTATAGTAGTGTATCCACTTTTCATCGCCTTTCCTTTTCTGCCGCTGAACCAGCTGTTCAAACGTGACAAGACGCCGTTCGACCTCTCTCCTCTTCAACTTGTACGGCACCCAATGTCCTTGCTTTTGATTCATTCTCAATGCTTACAAACGTTTCGAAACTGTTATGTGATTAACTTTTAAAGATTCTGCAAGTTCAGCTTGCGCTTGACATGAGTCTTCATGAAGTAATGCCTCCAATTCTTCGTCTTCAAACTTTTCGGTTCGCCAGATCGTTCCTTATCTTCAACATTAAAATCATTAATGGTCGCCGTAAGTCTCAACAACAATTCTACGTGCTTCAGCTGCAGATTTCTTTTGTATAAAGTAGTGCAGTAAAATTCCCCGCAAATACACTTTCTTTGGCACAAAATCCGACATGTTTAACGCTATGAAAAACAAAGTTGTTTACACTTCAGCGAAATGACATACACTGATTTTCTATTAGTCTTAGAGATAGTTGTGACTTGTGTTTAGAAGAAAAGATTAGAATGATAGATTACAATAATCAAAGCCATCTATTGAATCAGAGAAACGAATTAGTGTTAAAATGTCGACATAAAAACAAATTCAAATTCCTATAATATAGGTTTTAACTTAATGAGCTACCATATTTTCATAATATTCCCTCCCCTTTAACTCTTCAAATGTCGACATTATAACTAATTCTAATTTTCTATATTTTATTTCGCCCTTCTATAACCTCTTTACACTATAATAATTATAACTTATAAACTTGCCCCTAATTTAATATCCCCCAACTATCTTTCCGTTAATCACTTAAATCATTGTATCTATATATTTTAAATTTACATTTAGATCCCTTTTTATTCCTCTTTTTATTTTAAATTAATATTTCATTCTTCATCTAACCCCTAAATAATGTCATAAAGTTTATGTTAAGCTTTAATTTTATAAGGTAGATATTTTACGACAAATATCTAACACCCTCCCCTGTCTCGTGCCTTTCGTCTGACTGAAACATTGAAATGGATAAATTCTGTATTAGTTTTTTGACTGGATGGTTTTATTTAGCTTTCACGGTTAGATTCTATTTCGCGCCGCCTGCTTTACTGTATAGACACGAACTCAGTACACACCGGGGTTGATAAAATAGACGACCGATATCTTTGTCTGTCTGTCGAAATAGGCTATTCCCCATCTGAGGTAATTTTTGATTTTATTGTTTATTAATTATATATATATATATATATATATATATATATATATATATATATATATATATATATCATTTCATTTTTCGTTTCATCTTTTGGAAGAGCTATCTGATGAGCCGGCGTCCTTTAAAAGGGCTCTGGTGAAATAAATTATTATAATGGAACATTAAAGTGGTCTGTTTTTCTTTTATATATATATATATATATATATATATATATATATATACTTTCGTTTCAATCCTCATTAAGGTTAAATTTACTGTTAACGCATCAATAGCTATTATTCGCATATTAATAATAATTAATATCATAGTTATCATCACTATTAGCATAATCACAATTGTCAATAACGTACAACATCATCATCCTCATGCCCACAACACAGAACGCAAAGACCCAGACTAATAGGAGTTTATGTGTACGTCTACATGTGTGTATGCGTGTGTGAGGAAGTGTAAGTTTCTCTAACGGCGCAGGCGGTAGAACTGAAAAGCGTCAAGAATACCCCTATCCGCTTGCTGTTGAAAGGAACAACGCTACGCATAAAAAGCCACGGTCCCGGCACGGAAATATAATTAAAATTGTGTATGTATGTATGCCAGAGCGCCTGGATGTGTGTCTGCGCCAGGCTTCGATTTTGTTTATATGAGTGCGTATGCGTGAACTAAGATGCGTACACCTGTATGTATGTGTGTCTATGTGTATAAGAGTGCCAATCCTGAACAAGCAAAGAATTTTCCTCAGCCACCACCAAGCATGGTAAAATTTAAAAAAATAAAACTGTTTGACTGATGACCGCAAAATCCTGAAATCCAGGGTCACAATCTCATATCCATACAACTGAATATATATATATATATATATAATAATAATAATAATAATAATAATAATAATAATAAGGCTTAAACCCCTTCCACTCACCTCTCCTAAAATTCTCTCTGTTAACGTTTAATCTCCCTCCTTCTCTCGTCTGTTACCCCTCTCTTTAGCTCTAACATTCGTCCCACACTCTTATACTTACACTCTCTCTAAATTCTGTTTTTATTTCCGGAGTTGTTTTTTCTGTTTTCTTTTTGAATTTGTAGGTCTGATGAATTGGATCGTATTTACGATTCCAATGGAATAAATTATGACCATGGAATATTAGTGTTTAAGCCTTTTTATTATATCCTTACTCTGTCCTGGACATTGAGCTCTACCTGGATTCTATCCTCTTGGAATTATTTTTTTTATACAAAATATATATGTGTATGCATGTATGTATACATATATTTATATATTTTGCATATGTATGTGTATATTTACCACTATATA